AGGGGCCATCCTCGATTTCAACTCCATGACGGAGGATATCGTGCTACTCGAGACAACACAAGTTCAACTTCACGACGAAGGGACCGCTGTTTGTCAATAAACAATTTCCCAATTTCAGAGCCAATTTCAACTTCACAGCGAAGAATATTGGACTCCAGACAACGCAAGTTCAACTTCACGACGAAGGGACCGCTGGTTGTCAACAAACAACTTCTCAATTTCAGAGCCAATTTCAACTTCACAACGAAGGATATTGGACTCCAGACAACGCAAGTTCAACTTCACGATGAAGGGACCGCTGGTTGTCAATAAACAATTTCCCAATTTCAGAGCCAATTTCAACTTCACAGTGAAGGATATTGGACTCCAGACAACGCAAGTTCAACTTCACGACGAAGGGACCGCTGGTTGTCAATAAACAACTTCCCAATTTTAGAGCCAATTTCAACTTCACAGTGAAGGATATTGGACTCCAGACAACGCAAGTTCAACTTCACGACGAAGGGACCGCTGGTTGTCAATAAACAACTTGAGCCAATTTCAACTTCTCAGCGAAGGATCTTGGACCCAAGACAACACAAGCTCAACTTCACGACGAGGGGCGGCTGATTGTCAACAAAATTTCATTCAGAGTCAATTTCAACTTCACAGCGAAGGATATTGGACTCGAGACAACACAAGTTCAACTTCACAACGAAGGGACGGCTGGTTGTCAACAAACAATTTCCCGGTTCCAGAGCTAATTTCAACTTCACGACGGAGGATATTGGGCTTAGAACAATGCTACTTACTTGGATTTCAACTTCACGACGAAGGATATCCAATTTGAGGCTCAACTTCACGACGAAGGGGCCACCCGCGGTTTCAACTTCACGACGAAGGGAATCGTGCAAACAAGCATCATCCATCTTTAGATTGGATTTCAACTTCACGATGAAGGATATCCAACTCAAAGAAGGAGTATCTGTCAACAAAGACCTTCGAGTTCGACTACGCTCAGCTCCAAGTTGAGGTTTTCATGTCGAGAAGAGGACCTGGATTAGCCGTGCCTTAATAACAACCAACAATTTTCAAGCAGCATAGCTTAAGTCAAGAAAAAGCTATCTGTCAATGAAGATTTCTGAGTTCGATTCCAATCCAAGGTCTTTAAGCCGAGAAGAAGACCGAAGGCCAACGAGAAGCCGCATCTCGATTCAAATTTTGAACTATGACTTCAATTCCATATCATTTCAAGGTGGACTGGACTTCGCGATGGAGGAGACATCCACAACTCAAATCGACAGGGTGCTATTCTTAATTGAAATATCAGAATCAATTTACAACTCCACCGAACGAAATTTATGTCCTTTTGTCTTTGTCCTATTTTTCGTTCCACGAAAAAGGACAAAGAGGAGCAGCTATAGACACCTAATTTCGTTCTTTACTTTTATTAATACTACATATTTTGTTTACATTAATATAATATAATTTTATTTTATTTATTTTTATTTATTTACATGATTTAGGCCCAAACCCCGTGGCCCGTTTGATGACCCACCAGACCCGTGAATCAACCCTATGACTTGTAACAGATTGGGGTTTACGAGGCCTAACTTTTTCATCCTCAAGCAGCAACCGCCTCAACCATTCCAGCCCCCCATCAGCTCCGCTTCTCACGCAACAACCCGTTGAAGTCCCCTCCTTTCACGCGGCTACACCAAGTCCTCCAGCGAACGAGGAGCATCACCAACAAATAAGCAAAGTCGTGTGTTAGTAGGATTCAATAACAACCAATAAATCAGAGGATTTTCAGTTTACATCAAAGACCAAAAATAGTAAATTCTTTGCTATAAATAAAGATGTAAATCAGATTGAAGGGGGACGGATATACACAATATTACTACGGTTTACACAAGAAATACCGAGAGATTCGGTGCAAGTTACACAAAAAAATCATTCGGAAAAGAGGGGGAAAACACGACGGGAAAATACGAAAAAGAACCAAAGGGAAAGAGAGGAGAAGAAGCCATACCTTGTCTTTATTTCGGAAGCCCGACAGTCACCAAAGTTTCAAACTTTCGAAAAGGGAAGGGCTAGACCTAGGTTGCTCGTGAAAGATATCATTTAGAGAGAAGTTCTCTCTCTTTTCCCTTTATTCCGAGTTTTGGCCGACTGCCAAATGAAAACAGGGTTACAAAAACCCTTATGTTCTTTATATATGAAATGTTTTGAGTTAATTGCTTGCTAAGGGTTTGAGGTAATGTTTACTTTTTCATTGTAATCCTGCTGAAGCTTTAATGAATTGAAATATATTAATATTTTCCCTTATAATCTGACAACACATTTGCTCTTCATTTTAATGCTTTATTGTTCTCTCTTTCTCTATTCGTGTAAGTGGCAGGGGTATTTGCTTTTTTTTTTTGTAGATAGGGGGTAATAGTTAATTTTGTCCCTAGTATTTGTAATATTTTATTTTAATCACCTAATTAAATTTCATGTTATTTTATTTTGAGCATATATATTTCACTATTTATATTTTAGTCACTTTTTTTGCAGTTAATTCAGTCCTCATTGAATATTATTTATGATTTGCCCATCTTATTTTACACACATTTTATTTTAGTCACTAATGGAAATTATTGGTTTCTTTTTGTTTTTTAAGTTAACGTTTTGTTTATTTATTTAACATTTGTTTTTTTAATTATTTTTAAACTTTTTTATTGTATTCTATTTATTTATTTTTTCTTATTTACATTTCTTTTCCTTTATTATTTTGTTATTATTTTATTTATTTAATATTTCCTCTTTTGATTTATATTTATATTTTTTATCTATTATTTTTATTTGACCTTTTGATTTATTTCTTTTTCTTTTATTATTTAACATTTATTTACTGTTTTTTGTCTAACATTTTCGATTGTTTTTAGAAACTCCAATCAATCAAAGGTGAGTAATTCAAGTCAAATTTTTAAATTTCAATTTAAATTTTGATTTTCGCAATTAAAGACAACCGGTAAATTAATTGGTATCGAAAGGGCGGTTCAAGGGTGTTGATCCTTCCTTGACCGTAACCGACTCCCGAACTCAACATATTTCTGATAAAACGCAGATCATGTAAGACGGTGTCCGACCCTCCTAAATTCGTTTTAAAATGGTCGGTGGCGACTCTAACCCAATCAATTCAAGTCGAAGCCCAATTCCAAGGCCCAACCGAAAGACGGTTACGACAAAAACCAAATATCCTAACCACTGGAGGACAATGGATTCATGAGGAAGCGTTCTAGTTTACATATTCCGGCTTTTATACAATTTCAAACAGAACTCAGTTCCGCATGGAATTCAATTGAAAAACCACAAAAAAGGGGATTTAATGACAGAAACCAAAGAAAAAGATTGTGATTTCAAAATGAGAAAATATATTTATATAAAAATGTAAGAATTTTGAAAAGGAACAAAAATCCCTTTGAAGTTAGTTTACCGTAGGTGTTCGATGAGTGAGGCAGTGGTAATGGTAGCGGCACGGCAACAGCGGCGGACTATGGTTCTTTGAAGGACGGTTGATTTTTTTTTTCTTTTTATTTTGAATTTGTGAAATTCTGACTTTCAAAATGGATTTAGAAAATTATATTTTGCTTCTTTATATTTAAAGGTTGGAATTATGAAAAATTCAAATCTATTATTTTATTAGATACCCAAACAAAAAAAATCGATTTAGAATCTGAATACAATTTTTGTTGGCCCAAATCCCGATTCCCAAACTAATTACATTTTAGTCAATGAGATGTATCTATGCATTAACAATTAGGGTTGGTAATAGGCGGTTAATCATACTGTTTAGTTTAATTGATCGGTTAACCGTGATAATAATTATGAGATTTTTCTAATCGTAACCTAACCATTAAAAAATTGTTAACCGCTAACGGTTAACCGTTATTAATGGTTCGGTTACAGGTTAACTGTAAGTTAATCTATTCCAATTTTTGTCAAAGTTTTTTTTAATTCATACTACAAAAAATATAGTACTTAACACATATTTACACTAGTGTAAATTAATAAAATAAACAACTGTAACACTTAACACTTATTACACCGATGTAAGTGAATAAAATAAGAAAAATGTAGCACTTAACACATACTTACATTAGTGTAAGTATGTACATCTCCCAATATCTTAGTATCTAACAATAAACATATAATTATATTGGTGTAAGTATGTTTATATATTTTCAAAGAAAAAATAATAAAAATATATATTAAATTATTTGTATATAAATTTTATTAAATATATATATATATATATATATATATATATATATTATAAATAATAGAAACTTATATCAATTTATTTGTGTAAAAAATAAATAAAAAATATAATTTTAAATTTCATTTATTAACAGTTAACCATTGGTTAATCTTTTATCAAAATTTGTAACATTAACATTAACCGCTAACCATCATTTTTAGCTGTTTGGTTAATAGAAACCGTTTAATATTAACGGTTTGGTTAATTAACCTGTTAAATATAACAGTTATACCGGTTAACGGTTACGGTTAACTATTTCAGGTTTTTTTACACCCTTATTAACAATTACTTTCGATGTTTTTAATCTTAAGGTGAACTGATTCGTCCTGACTATCACAAACTCTGAAACAGATTTTTATTCATGTATTCGGGTCACAGGTTTAAACTACAGTTATTTTTACATTTTTAAATATCATGATTATAAATATAACGAATATTATCGAGCTGATCGTGAATATCACAATTATATAATATCAATTTTAAATGTTATTGTTATTACTGTTACGGTTAGTACAATTACATTATAAATTTTGAATGTTACAGTTATTACATTCACTGTGATTTCAGACTATTTAAATTTCCGGTCATTGCTTGTAATAGAAGTGAGCTCCAGGGTTCTTCTAGAAATAGCTATGTTACAAAAATAAATCATGGTATAGGAAATCTGTTCCAAGCTAATCCTTCTCAATAAACTGATTTTATTTTTAACCGTCACTTTCTTTCATCAACACATCACTTTCTTTCTCCCCAAACAAACTAAATCACAATCTTTAAAACAGTAACTAAAAGACCCAACTTTATAATCTATGTTAACCAAAATGTAAAAGCAAACAATTGATTTCAATATCGTAACTTAACATGACAATCAATCAAACAAATCCCATAATCCCAAGCATTCAAATTAACCTAGCAAACTACTAATCAAACACCAAACAAGAACTACATGAATCAAATCGTGTTCAAGACTCGGTTGGACAAAACGTGATCAAATAATCCGACCCAGAACATGTTCGAGTACTCGAGGCATCATCGTATGCATAACTGTATGCGGTTGGGCAAGCATTCTTGAACATCACGGAGTATTTATTTGGCGAGCAAGTTTGAGGCGTAGCGTGATCGCCGGTGCAGCAAAACTCCGGCGTCTTGAAAGCAGCGCAGGCGCTCCTACAAGCAACGACAGAACCCGAATCCATGACCCGTAACTCGGGCGGGCAGTTGGAGTTAAGATCCGAGACACAGCCTGCATATTGGCAATCCCCTGAACCACCGATTGCCTTGACTCCCAAGGCAATGTTGAAACCGTCCACGAGACTAACGTCGTAAAAGTCCTTATCAATTGAGCCTCCGCCTGCAATGGTGAACTCCACCAGGGTGACAGGTGGCTCACCGCCCCCAGTACACTTCAGCACGCCACCACAGTCACCTGTTATACATTTTCCCGAGCCGGAGTCGTCAAATGTGCAGCCTGTTCGACCCCAGAATCGACCAGACCAGCCAGGTGGAGCCTGGAATTGAGCAGATGAGTCTGGTGCCAATACGAATCCACCCTCGCCCAGCGCAGCACCGTTACCAGAGAGTGAACCAGCCCATACCGTGAAACTGCAATGGTTTTGGAGCGTAAAAAGCGTTGCTGAAGATAACACCGTCCCTGAAATCGTCATTATAACCAAAGTTGAATCAATGCAACATGAATCAAAATGTTTAAATCAATTTGCAACCGGAAAAAGAAGGAAAAAAAACTTTTGTTGTGTAAACAATAAAAAGAACAACTTTGATACTTTATCAACGATAGATTTACCTAAAGAGGAGAGACTCAGAAAAAGAAGATAAACCCCAGAAATCTCCATCAATGGTGTTTGCTAGGAAGGAGAGATTGAGAGAAAATGGGAAGGATTTGATGCAGGGAAATGGAAAGGTAAGGTTAATATAGAAAGGTGTTGTCTACCCCTTAAATTTTTGCTTGCAAATATAATATACGAGTTTGTCAAACTTTTCGTGAACAATATTAGATTCTCACGGTTCTCTTTGAGAGCATTGAGTGAACTGAATTATCAAAATAATTTCTTACATTTATGGCTATGTTATGTCTTTTCGTGGTCGATTAAGATACTTAAATTATTAAGCTCTGTTTAGGTTCCAAGACATGGTAATTCGTGTATTTATATAGTATTTGTGTTATATTTTAATTTTAATCATGTTTTAAAATAGTATATATTGATTTAAGTAAAACAATGATTTATTAATGCCAATTATTTTATTTTAATATTATATAATTATAATTTTTTAAACTAATAAAGACCTAGTAAAAGAATCAAAGGGTTTAAACTAATCGTTTGAGACAATAAATTGCAGTTGTTTTTTTTAAGGGGGAGGCATTTGTTAATTTGAGATGGATTTTTTATATGACATCCATACATTTATTTGGGTCTAAATATTTCCTTACCATACAATTAATTGTCAGTTAATTTCTAAACGTATTTTGAAACGTTTCAATTGAATGTTAAAAATTCAACATATATTTGTTTTATACGTAGTAAAAAAAATCATAATAATCAATTACGAGAATTTTTATTGATTAAGAATTTTCATATTTTATTCACCTTCAATTATATCATCAAACTCATGAACATATCTTTACTGACGTAAAAATATTTAGAAGCTTCTGTGTCTAATAACAAACATTACGTAGATTGGAGTATTATAGAAAAATTGAGACATCGAGACCCACTCATTACTTGTCTTTAACGTGACTTTAGTGCTTTGTTTTATCCTTCTCTCTTTTAGTTTCTTGAGGAGATCAAATATGGTAATAGCTTGTTAAGTTTGCACTCGTAATGTCAACATGACATATAATCATAGATTGGATAAGCTTATGCATCAAATCAAATGAATTGATATTAGTAAGCAATAACAGTTTGACAAGGGCCTGCAATCAAAACCATCAGCTGAAACCTGGAAGCCTGCAATCCAAGTCGATCCCTTCATCCATTTAGTCGTTATGTTTTAAATTCCAATGGATCATCTTGCGTATAGGTCGGATGAGTGATTAACGGATTTTTAAAATGTATTTAGATAAAATGTTAATTAACACATGAATATGGGTGAATTGGACTCCATCAGGTTCAAACTGAACAGGTGTAAACCAGACTCACTGGACCATGGAGGCCTACAATTGGGGACCTAGCTCAATGTGTGCTCAATGGAAAGTTTGGTTGAGCTTAAAATAAACATGGTTTTATATATAGATCTTAACGATTTTGTGGATTAGTTCATGTGCTCAAAGGAAGAGAATGTGATAATATTAAGATATAAAAAGCATATAATAATATGAATGATACAAATATGTCAGATGTTAAGCAGGGGCAAAATTAAAAGTAGGCAGAGGTATTGGACCCTAAAATAAAATAAAATTGTTTTATAGTCCCTTGACGATTCAGGAAACTTTAAATTAGTCCAATAAAAATTGTATGTGTACTCTAAAATTTATGATTTTATTCTAACCGCTCTTCTTTTAAAAAAAAAACTTGGATTATCCCTTGATTAAGTATTATCCACCCTAGCAGGCGCAATGTAAAACCACTTCTTACACTAACAACCAATAACATATAAGCTTAGAAAATAAGAATAAAAAATGGCCTGGAGTGGTTTAGTAAGTAATAAAATTTGAGTGTCAAAGAATCTTTTTCATCTCCGATTGCAAGGGTATGTGTGTGTGTGTGCTGGGGGGGGGGGGGTCATCAATTTTCATCTCCGATTGCATGGGTATGTGTGTGTGTGTGCTGGGGGGGTCATCAATTTTCATCTCCGATGTATAATATTGATAAGTGTAATAAAAAAACCTGCAATGCAAATCGAAGAGCTGTTTATGGTGGCTATAATTTAATTGGATCCTTTTTGTTTAATAAAAACAAAGCTGTCTTGTAATAATTACAAATTTTAAAAGTAGATTAAAATTTTATTTTGAAGTAATATTTGATCCACATATTTAATTAATAATATTATATTATTATGGATTTCCCATTGGCAATTACGGTTGTAATATATCTGGGCCTAATTGAGCCATCCTGTTATAACTGCTTAAGTCCTTAGTTGATAGCCTGCTGGGTTGTTAATTTGTTAGTATTCCGTTAGACAATAAAAAGAATCCATTGTTGTACATTGGGTCATAATGCCCAATAGTTAATATTCATTGTTTTTGTCAATTATGTTTATTGTTTAATGCTATCCTAGATTTCGTACTCCATATTTACAAATAGCAATTACTCTTACAAGTCAATTTCACAATATAATTTAGTTGCTGCACGTGTGAAATGTCAAATTTCAACCAAAATTAAAAAAGAAAAGCTCTTGAAATGATGTTACATTTGTAAGGGAAATCAATGAATGAACTTCGGTTGCTTTCATTCTCATGGAATAGAAGCCCAATATTAGACGTTTATAGCCGCAATAATTTTAATATTTCATTGTCCCCGTTCCACTATTTGAAAATTAATAAAACACGTGAACTTTTAATAGTTAAAATTAAATCAAAACAAATTATATTTCATTACCGTTAAGTAAAAATTTATGCATGATGAGGGCAAGGCAATGACAAATCCCCGGACCTGATGGCTATAACCCTTACTTCTTCAAGAAAGCTTGGCCCATTGTTGGTGAGGATTTCAAAGCTGCCATTAGGTATTGTTTTGACAAGTCCTTTATTCTTCCTGCTTTTAATGCTACAGTTGTTGTCCTTGTGCCAAAGGTGCCCTATCCTAATATAGTCAAAGATTTTATACTTATATCCTGCTGCACTGTGATTTATAAGACAATTACAAGAATCTTAGTTAGGCGCATGTCTGATGTATTCCCCAGTATGATTGCTAAGAATCAAACTGCTTTTGTAAAGGGGAGAAGCATTATAGACAACACACTCCTTGCTCAAAAGCTTGTTAGGGGCTATAATAGAAAGAATATCTCCCTAAGGTGTACTATGAAAATTGACTTACAAAAATCTTTTGATTCATTAAATTGGGAGTTTATTGTTGTTGTTCTGTATGCTTTAGGCCTGAAAAGTTTATTGGATGTATCTGGGCATGTTTTACAAAGCCTAGCTACTCTATTGTGTTTAATGACAGCTTAGTTGGTTATTTTAGGGGTGCTCGAGGTGTAAGGCAAGGTGACCCACTTTCACCTTATCTTTTTGTCTTTGCCATGAATGTTTTGTCTAGCCTATTGAATGTGGCAGCTTTAAAGGGAATCTTTAACTTCCACCCCAAATGTAGAAGGATTGGCCTATCCCACCTATGTTTTACTGATGATTTAATCATATTCTGCAAAGCATCTATTGATTCTATTATTGGTGTTCAATTTGTTTTGGATGTGTTTAATCTATGTCGGGTTTGAAGCTAAATGTCAGCAAATGTGAGATATATGTAGCTGGGATATCTGTTGTGCAGTGTAATTATATAAGCGAGATTACAGGTTTCAAAACAGGGAAACTCCCTGTAAGATACTTAGGAATTCCTTTGGTGACTAAAAAACTTGCAGAAAAGGATTGTTAAAGCCTTATTGATAAAGTAAGGGCTAAGTTGAATTTATAGGTTAACTGACATCTGAGTTTTGCTGGCATATTACAATTGGTGTGTGTTGTCTTATTTAGCAAAACAAATTACTGGTGCAGACAAATTATACTTCCTCTTGCGGTGATCAAGAAAGTTGAGCAACTATGCTCTTGATTCTTTTGGAAGGGAGCCGATTTGCCTGCTAAGGGCGCTCGAGTGAGTTGGAGGTAGATCTGTTTCCTGAAGTCTGAAGGGGGTCTTGGAGTAATTGATATAGGTGGCTGGAACAAGGCTTGCATCGTGAAACTGATCAGGAACTTACTGGCAGAGGAAGGTTCCTTATGGGTAGCTTGGCTTCATTCTTATGTGATTAAGAATTCTGATTTCTGGCAGATGAGTTCCCCTACAAATGCCAACTGGAGTTTTAAGAATTTATTGAAAATGAGGCCTTCAGTTTCTCACTTAATTATTGGTCCAGTCAGAGAGCTCAGCACGAGACAGATCTTGGAAGACATGCGCATCATGGCTCCAAAGGTCTTATGGCACCACTTGGTTTGGTTCCTTGGGCGTATCCCAAAGCATAGCATAATCTTATGGATGACTATCTTAGATAGGCTCCCTACTCGGGTAGGGCTTATGCGGATGGGATTAGTCATTGAGAATGACAAGTGTCTGTTTTGTGACATTGAGCCTGAAACTAGAAATCACATCTTCTTTGAGTGTGGTTATGCAAAAGTTTTATGGATGGCCATACTTTCTCTATGTGGTGTCAATCGTAGAGTAAGCCACTGGGACGGAGAACTAGCATGGGCTATACACTGTTTAAAGGGTAAGTCTCTCATTGTGAGAGTGTTTAAGCTTGCTTTGGCTGGCTATGTGTATGGTATCTGAAATGAGAGAAATAGCAGATTGTTTGGGGGGAAGGACAGGCTGATGGATGGTGTTCTAGAGGATATTAGAAAAGCTATTCGGATTCGATTGAACGGTTGACATATCAACAGAATTGACTCGAGGAACGCTGCCCTCTATGTAAGTTGGGATATCTCGTGAGTTTTGATGACTCCTTGCTCTATTGTTTCAATTGATGACTGGTTGTATAGTTAGACGTTAGGTTGGTGGTTCTATAACTTAGTCGTTATTTGTTGTTTATTTAATAAACTGATTTCTTGTAGCAGACTTCCTATTTTCTTGGGTAATGAAAATAGATTATCCAAAAAATATTATGCAGGACCAACTTCATCTTAACGGTGTTCAAAATTCAGCCATATGAAGTGAACATCTTTTGGATATTTTTTCTTTATTTCTATTTTCAGATCACAAACCAGAAAAATAGGGCTTTACGATCAAGTTTTGTATTACGTTAAAGCGAATAGAATTTGTAATAAATATTTCTTTAAAATTTTTGAATTAGACAATTGGATATATATATATATATTAATCAAATGAAGTTAAGGCGAATATTGGGAAAAAAGTGGAGTGAAATTAATGTCAAATTGGCCGGCAGTGACAAACAGCAGGATAATTACAGCTGGAAGACCAGTTTGGACTGTTGACCTGACTTCAAAGCTTCAACTTTCAAACCTTTATAAATGATGTTAGCCCAAAAAGGGTAATTAATTTAGCCTCTTTCTCAAATTTTTCCAACTGCCTTTGTCCTTCCTCTTGAGTTATAGCCTCTGCAGATTTTAAGAAATTCATGTGATACTAAATGTACCAAGAAAATGAAACAAAAATAATTAAAATCAAATACGAATACATGAAGTTTTATAACATTCATCATTAAAATTAGTTTGGCACAACAATTAAGGGGTCAAATAATGACTTCTTTCTAAGTCACGGCCTTAATATAATTATCTTTAGGGCTGTAAAAACGTGCAATTCGTGGAAGGAATCTTCTAGAGACACGAGGAACTTTCAAACCAATTTTTTTTGTTTCAAAATTTCTAAACTCTAATGTTTATTCAAGACAAAAACATTTAGATATTAATTGAAGTAAATTATCAACTGCAGTGACAGATCCAGAAATTTAAAAATATAGGTCTAAAATTTTAATTTTCTTTTCTTAAAAATAATGAGTATGTAAAAATTATATTTTTTTTTCTTTTTTCCTTAACACATTAAAGTTTAATTTAACCACTTTTTCAAAATAATAGATGTACTTGACCTTTAAGAGGGTTTAATGCACCCGCCACTGCTTATAGGTACTAATTGATAAACATTTTTTAAATGTAAAACCTATCTCACACCGTCCACGTGCATGTTTAAACAGGAAATAAACATTTGAATGAAAAAAAAACACAAATATATTTTTTCTAATCTATACAATGGAAAAGAAATCATTCCGAGAGTTAATTACACGGTTGATCATTTATCTTTGAGTTTTGTCTAATTTTTGTCATTTATTTCAAAATAAAGAAATATAATTAAATTTCAAACGTTTTAAACTTAAAATAAGCATTTTAAAAAATAATTTAGAACGTTAATGTGAAATAATTTAAGAAATTAAGAATTTAAAACATTATGATATCAAAATTTAAGAAATTAGAATTTTAGAATGTCACTCTAAAAAATATATAATAAATCGGGTCGAATGGTACCCAATTAACAAACATTTTGTGACCCATGCTTGACCCAGAAACCCGATCAGGTACCCAACCCGAAAAATCAGGAATTTTTATTATAAATACCTAATATTTTTTAATTAGGTCAATGGGTCAACTCAATTGGATCGGGTATTTTTGAACAAACTTACTGGCATGATATGTGACATCGTTCGATTGAGAATTAAATTTATTTTAATTTATTAAAAATATGATTAAATTGAGATGATATAACATGGACCACACATGTGATTATATCAAAAATATTTAAATGTTTTTAACTACAGTTAACTCGAGATGACTAAATCTTAATTAAATAAAAATGAAAGTGATCATATCTTAATTAAATAAAAACAAAAGTGACCATATCTTATTTTTTTTAAATCTGTGACCAAAAGTGGATAAAATACAAATATAAGTTACCATCCATGTAGTTAACCCATAAAATTATAACATTAAATAATGCACACGAATCATGACTGGATCAAGACATTTCGAGCTTTAGTCAAGTCACCGACCCGGCCCCTCGCCTTTGTATATTTTTGGCCATTGTTATATTGTTTGTTGACCACTATTATAAATAATGACTCGACTTTGTCCTCCACTTCCCACCTACTCCACCTTATAATATTATTTTCGGAACTGAATAAGCTCATCGTTGTTCAATTTTAATGGCATCATCTTCTTTGCCTTTTACTTCTCTTCCTCACCAATTTGTTTCACCAAACAAATCGTCATCGAAATCGGCGCCGATTTCGACGTCGCGTCGTGTTGTTGTTCGGCGGATTAGAGTGTCAGTGCCGGAGAAACCATATGTGTCAGCGGTGGCGGTTTCGGATAATGGAGAAGTCAAGCTCCCGGTGAAGAAAATTCCGGGTAATTATGGGGTTCCTTTTGTCGGTCCACTCAGAGATCGACTTGATTATTTCTACAATCAAGGTCGAGATGAGTTTTTCAAATCGAAAATCAAGAAATATAACTCAACTGTGTTTCGAATCAACATGCCACCGGGTCCTTTGATCTCTCAAAACTCAGAGGTTGTGGCTTTACTCGACGGTAAGAGTTTCCCCGTTCTTTTCGATATCACCAAGGTTGAAAAGAAGGACCTTTTCACCGGCACTTATATGCCTTCAACTGACCTCACCGGCGGCTATCGAATCCTCTCGTATCTCGACCCTTCCGAGCCCAAGCACGCCAAGCTCAAACAACTCGTGTTTCATCTCTTGAAATCTAGGAGAGATCAAGTAATCCCCGAGTTCCAAGCCTCTTACGGTGAGTTATTTGAAACGTTAGAGAAACAACTGGGTGAGGAAGGCAAAAGCAGTTTTCAGATAGCTAACGACCAAGCCGGGTTCAACTTCTTGTGTCGGGCTTTCTATGGTACGGACCCAAGGGATACTAAACTAGGAACCGACGGTCCAAGTTTGATTAGTAAATGGGTACTGTTTCAGCTGGGTCCGGTTCTTTCTCTGGGTCTCCCAAAATATGTTGAAGAACTCTTAATCCATACTTTCCCTCTCCCCCCGGCTTTGGTTAAAAAGGATTACCAGAGACTCTACGATTTCTTCAACGAATCGTCTGGTTTCGTTCAGGATGATGCTGAGAAAATGGGCATTTCAAGAGAAGAAGCTTGCCATAATTTGCTGTTCGCCACGTGTTTTAATTCATTCGGTGGCATGAAGATCTTCTTCCCCAACATGCTTAAATGGATCAGCAGAGCTGGAGTGAAGATACACACTGAATTAGCAACGGAGATCAGATCGGCAATCATATCCAACGGCGGGAAACTCACAATGGCCGCCGTGGAACAGATGCCATTGATGAAATCCGTCGTGTACGAAGCGTTACGGATCGAACCACCCGTCCCGTTACAATACGGGAAAGCAAAGAAGGATTTCTTGATCACCAGCCATGACGCCGTCTTCCAAGTGAAACAAGGGGAGATGTTATTCGGGTTCCAACCGTTTGCAACGAAAGACCCGAAGATATTTGAGAGATCGCAGGAGTTCGTCGCCGACAGGTTCGTCGGAGACGACGGAGAGAAGCTGTTGAAGCACGTGCTTTGGTCGAATGGACAGGAGACACAGCAATCGACGTTGGGGAACAAACAGTGCGCTGGCAAGGATTTCGTGGTTCTGATGTCGAGGCTTTTGGTGGTGGAATTGTTTAGACGTTACGATTCATTCGATATCGAAGTGGGGAAGTCGGCATTGGGGGCTGCCGTTACGGTTACGTCCTTGAAGAGAGCAAGTTTCTAAGACCAACAAGAAAATATATGTTTTTTTCAATTAGTAAGTTTGGCAAGTCATTCATGTGATGTGATGTGATATGATTGGATATGACATTTTTATGATTAAATTTTGGGTTAATTAAATGATTTATTATTTATGTTTGTCTATTTTTTTTATAAAACTTTTTAAAAAAATAAATAATATATGATATTTTTATTTGAGAAAATAAGACCGAAAATGTTTTATAATATACGAATTTAATCAATTTTTTTTTAATTTATCAAAATGATCAATAAATTCGTAACGCGATAGTCAAATTCGCAATACGATAGTCAAATTCACAACGCGAATTTAATTTCGCAATATGTTTTAGTTTCGCAACACAAATGTTTTGAGTATATAACAACGCAGCAGCAGCAACAACTCATAACCTAAATCCCTAAATCACAACTCATTCCATCTCCATCTATCACTCTCTCCGGCGACATCCGTTCCTATATCCAACGACATCCTTTCCTATCTCTATTTTTTTACATAATTTTATTTCTATATAATTTTTCAATGATTTCTTTCCCAAATTATCAACTATCAACTTAATAAAGTATGTTTTTCTCTAAGTTAGTGATGATATCTAGTTTATAGCTCGTTTGTTTAGTAAATTAATTTACAATTTGTAGAATGAAATCATCTAATGTTGATCATGTTTGGATAGATTTGTGTTTTGGAGGGTCATGGGAGAATGTTCATGGTGTTTTACAATATGTGTATTTACCCATGAATCTTCAACTAAAACTGTCATTAAAAAAGTTAACTTATGAAACTCTAATGTTACGTGTTGTAAAGAAATTGAATTTAGAGCCCCTAAGTGGATTTAGGATATCTTATCAGAGAAAATATAAAGTTTATTTGTTAACCGACAATGAAGATGTTGAACGATTCATTGCTTACATTAGTGTTTCGCAAGAAGATGATGTTACATGTATGTTGTTGAACCTAGAAGTAGTGAAGTTGGGTCAGTAGCGGGTAGTAATCACTAAGTTCTTCAACCCAAAATTTAATGGTTCCACCACAATTTCATCACCAAGCAAATTTTGTTTCACCACATTTCCAATACCAAACACAATATCAAACACAATCTCAAAACCCACAACCTTTTCCTAATCCAAATTCAAATCAACTTTCAGCACCAAATTTCGGTTTTCGTATTGACCAGTTAGACGATTATAAGCCAACAGAAAAAATTGTGAGTATTAGTCAGTATTCGAAATTTGATCTTGGTCAATACCCAGACTTTGATATTGGTCAATACTCGGATTTTGATGATGTGATGGAAGAAGAAACAGACCCTGCATGTAATGATTTTGATATTGGTCAATACCCGAATTTTGATGATGAAACAGCCACTGCCGAGGAAGATGTTGTTGATGATAATGAGGAGGAAGTTACGACTGTGAATGAACATGTTGAACATCCATTCTGTAATTCATATAACCCTGAAAAAGAAAAAGAAAAAAGAAGAAGAAGAAGTCCCTGAAGAAAGAAAAAAGAAGAAAATTCCACGAGAGTATAACTAGAATATGCCAGAATTACTTCAGATAACGGAAGAAGAGTTGGTAAAGATAGCAGTTGATTGTTACACAAAAGTTATTCGTATCAAGAAAGATGATTGTTTTGATACAAAGGAAGACTTGAATATAGCTTTGTATACGAAATGTGTGGAAGATGGCTATCAACTAAAAGTTAACAAATCAAGCAAAGATCGTTTCGAAACAAGGTGTATGATTGAAAAAAATTGTACGTGGCGTATGATTGCAAAGAGGATAAAAGATTGCGAAATGTTTCAAGTTAGGACTTTTATTGATAAACATACATGTTCAAGAACCCAAGTTTTTCCTCACTATAGACAGGCACACAAAAAGGTGTTGGGTGGTTTTATGGCTGAGTTAATGTTTTTGAATGGAATGGTATATCGGGGACATGAAATTATGACTGACATGAATGCTCGGTTCAAGATTAGTATCTCATATTCTCAAGCTTGGAGAGCCAAATGTTATGCCTTGGAATTGTTGAGGGGGTCGCCAAAAGCATCGTTTGCCCAACTGTCGGCTTATTGTCACAATTTAAAGCTGAAAAATCTTGGGTCGGTAACACATATCAAAACAGATAGAGATGGACGCTTTGAGTTGCTGTTTATCGTCATTGGTGCTGCGGTTAGTAAATAATTATAATCTTGTTGACTCATTTTTGTTAGTTGCATGCATTTCACATTTAAATGATTATATTTCTTGTGTATATGATTTTGTAGATTCGTTCGTTTATTACTTGCATGCGCCCAGTTATTATAGTTGACGGAGCACATTTGAAAGGTCGATACCTTGGAGTAAACTTATTAGTAGTATCCATGGATGCTAACAATGGGATACTGCCAATAGCTTACGAGGTTGGCAAATCTGAAACCTCTGATTCATGGACATGGTTTATGGGGCATCTTAGGGATTGCATAGGTCCTATTAGCAATTTGACAATCATATCCGATAGGGCAAACTCAATTGACAACGCTGTTAGAAGGTGTTTCCCAGATGCTTTTCATGGACTTTGTGGTGTTCATTTGTACAAAAATCTAAAATCAAGGTATGCTGGTATAAAAAATCACAAATGGACATACTGGAAGGCTGTAAAAGCTTATCGGAAAGTGGATTTTAATAAGCATATAAATTGTTTAAGACGTGTTTTGCCTCAATGTGCTCAAACACTAGAAGACGTCGGTTTGAAAGATGGTCAAGAGTACATCAACTTGGAGCAAAATATGGTTTCATGACGTCTAATAGTGCAGAATCAATCAACGCTCTAAGTCGTCATTCCCGAAAATTACCCATTACTATGTTAATGGAGTTTTTTCGAGCCTCTATTCAACAGTGGTACTACAAGAAAAGAAACCATGCATGTATTATTTCTTTAAATTCGTAACTTATCATATTTAATATATTTTACTAAGTATTATTTGTTTAAATTTACAGGAACATTGGAACGTCGTGTTACACCATGGACTGAAAAAAAAGATAACGAAACGTGTTGTGAAGTCAACGTCATAGAGAGTTGAACCATGTTCAAACACTTTATTTGAAGTATTGGATAATAACTTAAATGGGCTTGTCGTTCTAAATGCAAAGACGTGTAGTTGTAAGAAATGACAAACATCTGGTTATCCATGTGGCCATGTTATAAAAGTTTCTCTTCATCTAAACCAAGATGATTCAAGCGCATACGCTATGGATTGCTAAACTACAAAAGTATATCGACAGACATATGTCGAGATTGTCTACCCATGTCCACATCCTTATGAGTGGGACATACCAGATGACTTACAAACAGTTTTGCCACCAGTCATGGACAGCAGGCTACCTGGCCGACCAAAAAATCACGATCGTATACCATCTAAGGGTGAAGAGAAGAGGATATCGACATGTAGTCGATGCAAGTAAAGTGGTCATACAAGGTTGACCTGTGGATCACCAGTGCCGTAGTAATCATCTTTTCCTCTACCAAAAAATGGATCCTCATCAAAATCCAAATCTCATATGGTGCCAAGCAAAAGGAAATCAAAATCAAAATCTCAATCACAACCGGCTTCACCTTTTGGGACTTATTAACTTAGGTGATTTTTAAATGCAAACATTGTATTATGTGTATTTTATGTGTGAATGCATACATTTTCAGTTAGACATTCATTAGTAACTTGAGTTTGAACATTGCTATGATATGTTCAGTTGTTATCATGTTGGAATTTTCTCTTGTGTTTGATTACTTGGATAGTTGTTCTCTTGCTTCTTCAAGTGTCCTTAGCTTGTATTTATAGCTTGGAATGTGTTTGATGTTGTATATAACTTGATGTTGTATGTTGCGATCAACGCGAAATTCAAATTCGCAACGCGAAATCGCAAACCGAATTTGACTTTTGCATTGCGAATTTGACTATCGCAACACTTATTTCGCGTTGCAAATTTGACTTTCGCGTTGCGAATTTGATATCGCGTTGTACATTATTTGAACATTGTTATGGGTACATTATTTGGAAAATAATGTTCCGGACTTCGTTAGAAATAACCCTTTTTCATCGGATTAATTTCGTTTTTGTGGGTACATTATTTGAACATTGTTATGTATAAATTTGTTGTGTATGTATGTTTTGGTTTGATTATATTGTATGTATATTTTCATTCAGATGAGATGGGTTGTGTATAACAAAACAATCTATCTCTTCCATGTGAGTACTTTATTCCAACCATGTGACAAGTGTGACAACCCCATCAACTCACAACTTAGCTTTAAACTCAATCAATATTGTCTTTTAGCTTGATGGTTCATAAAGCATGTTACTTGAACAATATGAATCAATTATGCAATTTCCATGTTCAATTTAACACTGCATTTCAAATTCATTTCATATGTAATTGGAGTTTGAATTTCAATTTCAATTTTAGTTTAAATTTCAATATAAATTTCGGCTCCACTATAAATATTAGCCCAAGCCAATATGCATGTTATAATTGATTATTCCTAATTTCCATTGTTTTTTTCAACTTTAAACGCGAGGGAAATCCCGACCATCGTAATTTTTGGTCAACTTTAAAGCGTCAAAAACGTTTCGGGCGTATGATCTGGGTGGTATACGAGAAATGCAACAAATGACAACTAAAAATCCCGATAATTGAGGGCTACAACTTGTAATAATAACAAAAATAATAAGTCTGAAATACTTCCGAGTACCACCCAAATCATAAGTCTGAAATGCTTCTGATGCTCATCAAAATCCAAAGCTCATATGGTGCCAAGCAAAAGGAAATCAAAATCCAAATCTCATATGGTGCCAAGCAAAAGGAAATCAAAATCTACAACTTGAGTTTGAACATTTCTATGATCTGTTCAGTTGTTATCATGTTGAGATTTTCTCTTGTGTTTGATTGCTTGGATAGTTGTTCTCTTGCTTCTTCAAATGTCCTTAGCTTGTATTTATAGCTTGGAATGTGTTTGATGTTGTATATACCTTGATGTTGTATGTTGCGATTAACGCGAAAGTCAAATTCACAACGCGAAATAAGCGTTGCGATAGCCAAATTCACAACGCGAAAGTCAAATTTGCAAACCGAAAATCGCGTT